GGCCATCTAGTCTGACCTCCGGCACCAGCCGGCTCTGCTCACGACATGCCCACCATGTGGACGTCCAGCCTATCCTTGAACACCCACACTGATGGGGCCTCAACCACCTCCCGGGGAAGCCCATTCCATACCCTCGGGGTCCTGACTGTCAGGAAGTGCTTCCTGGCATCCAAATGGAACCTTGGCTCCCTGAGCTTTGCTCCGTTGGAGCACGTTCTGCCTTCCTCTACAGGGGAGAACAGGTCTCTACCCATCTCCCTGTGACATCCCCTCACATACCTGTATGTCTCCAACAGATCCCCTCTGGACATAGGAGGCAATTCATTGGATCCAGAACCTGGGCCTTGAACATGCCCCCAGTGCAACGGGAAATTTGTGCTGACTCTGAGGCTCTTTCTGTTCATCGCTGTGAGAGAAAAATAGTTCTGGGGAGAAAGGGGAAGGGAGGAAGGAGAATTGTAATCCTTTGGACACCCAGTGGTGGCCATTAGCAGAAGATCTTTTCATATTCCATATTTTGATCTTGTCATGATTGAAATCCATATTTCCTTCTCCCTTTTCCTCATCCAGCTTGCTCGCTATACCAAAGAAGGATTTCTTCATTTGGGGGCTCTCGGGAGCACAGTCCTCCTGCCAGATACCCGCTGCTTGGTAGATAACATGAAAAGCAAGTACCCTCAACTCCTTGATTGTGAGAAAGTCAAGAGCAGCCTCCATAAGCGCTGGAACTTCATCCAGGTGTGTAGCTTCCAACTTCCTCATGAATGACATCAGGGACACACTTGGAATGTCCATTGTCCTCAAGCCCCTCATGATCATGCAGGGCTGTGTAGGGAAGCCCTTGCACCTCCTTCCTTAGCTGGACCTTTGCAGTTTTACAGACTTTTCTGTTCTTACTCACCTGCCATCATCCGTCCACCCAGAATTTACTGGCCATGGATGATGCCCCATTTTTATTCAAAGAATCATAGAGTTGGAAGAAACCAGGAGGTCCTCAGGTCCAACCTCCTGCTCAGTGCAGGACACCAAGTTAAACTCTCTCTCTCAGAACACTGTCATTGGGCACTTGGTTTTGTTTTTCTCCCTCTAAAAATGTTCTGTTGAGACCCTGTTTTTGGATGTTGTTCCTTTCACTGTTCTAGGATTGGAACTCCAGACAAGTTCTCCATCTATGACTCTAGAGCTTATTTAAACAGAGTTAAAGAGGAGTAAATTCAGCACAAACAGAACTATTGAAAAAGTAATTTAATTAATTAGGCCAAGTCCACCTATCTTTAATGGAAATTTTCCTACACAGTTCTAAACTGGACTTCCCTGAACAATTCCTTCCCCATCTCCAGCTTTCTGTTTCCATATATTTTGGACTGAAGCATGACGTCTCTGGATGGATGGATGTGTACCTTGATTTAGCGTCCATGCACCCTGAAGTGCCTGATCCTGCCTAATCTTGGAAGCTAAGCAGGGTCAGGCCTAGTCAGAATTGGGCTGGGCGACTTGAGTGTATGATTCTATGATTATTGCTGTAAATTGCTCAGAATGCTTTAGCTATGGGCAGTATAAAAATGGTAGTAATAATAATATTTTCTCATTTTTTATTTCAGAATGGTGCAATTCTAAATAAAGGGACAGGGCGCTGCTTGGAGGTTGAGAATAAAGGTGCATCAGGTACAGAACTTATCCTTCGCAGTTGCACAGGACAGAGGTGGACAATTAAAAACATAATCAAGTAGGAGGATTCTTCAATCCTGTTCAATAACTGGTCAGACTGAGATCTCACAAGGGTAGACAAACCCTCTATCCACAATATCAGGGAAGACTCATAAAGGAAGAGAAGATTTATTTTTATTTTTAGATTTTATTTATTGAACCTTGGTTATGTGTGGACTTCAACCAGCTGGCTGAATGGGAACATTCCAGTCTTGCCGTTGTCCTCCTATTGAGCACTTCCATAACATCTCTCCAGGTGGACTCTAACAGAAGCTTTCCATAAGTGAAAGACCAGCAGACCCTATGGAAGGAGCAGAGAGAAGCCATGTTTTTAATGTACAAAAATGCACACCCCTAGAAATTGAGATAAGACATGAATGCTGATCATTGTTGCTTGAAGAAACGTGGTAAAGGATTTCCTCAGTCTCCTTTCCAGCTGGTATTGTGGCACATGACTTCTTACCTAGATTGAAAACAATGAAGATCCTGAACTTCTAAAGGGTTGCTTCACAAGCTTCTTACAGAAAGTGTTCTACTCTCCAAGCACACCAGGAAGTTGAACCTGCTGGTGGGTGGGAGACAGCAAATGGTCCAAACCGGCAAGCATTCAGTACCAAACCATCTGACACAATTGCCCAAATTTGTTGACTCTCCATCCTTTGAAGAGGAGAGCAATGTTTGAAATGAACTTGTCAGGAAAGTAAGGATTACTTTCACGAAGGCCAAACTTGGTTTCTTCGGCAATTATGCAAACAGATTAGATGACTTGTGTGCTTGTGTAGTCTTTAAGCTGCAGCCACTTTTTTTAATGCCAATTTATTCTTGCGTGATTGTGCTTTAGAGACCAGAAGTCTTTCCTTTCAAGAATGTGCCACTTAGCCATGTTTCTTCCTCAGCCACTGACTAAGTTATATTCTGTGTGGATGTACAAAAAGGAAGAACATGTGAACACCTTCCAAGAGTTGGTTACCGTGGTCGTCTCACTGCTACTCCCAAGACCTCAATATGTGGAGAATCCCCTTGTAGGTTCTTAGTCTGCCACCATAAATCTCTACCCCTTTATTTAACATACCCCTTTTACCTAAAGGAGCAGGACCAACCTGAAACAACAAATCAACAAACTCAGATGTATAAAATAGTAAGCAAATATATGAATGATTCTATTTAAAAATAAAACAAGACAAGTTTATTAACGTGCAGTTATTGTTACTTGAATAACATGCTTTTAAGTTGCTACTAAGCTACAGTTCCTAACCCAACTCAAATGCAGAACAGCTTCTCCATGAAGCTGCACCCCAGAAATCTGGTGTTTTAGCAAATGTTGCTCCCTTGGCAGGGTAAAACACTGGCTTTAATGTGGTTTTCCAGACTTCCCTTGAAGTCTTCAATCAGGTCCAGCAGGGGACCTGATTTTGTATTTAGTGGTCACTAGGCCTCAGCTCTCCCCTTGTTCCCGGAATGCTTCTTTCCATACTAGATGGCCATCTTTTGATCTTGGTTGCCTGATCTACTTGCAGTTTCTGAGCTGATGTCTTCTCTAAAGACACTTGCCTTCTAGTGTTCCTCTAACTTAGCTACCTTGGGTGCCATTTGGCTTTGTAAAAAGATGCTGGACAAATCGAATCAATCATTCTTGACATTTCTTCTTCCGGCTGATATGCTCACTTGACAAATCTCCAACAAAGCCCTCAGATGTTCCTCTTTCGCTCCTTAAATTTGTTCCTGTTGGAACCCTCCAGCCAATCAATCAGTGATAGCACCATGTATTGATCAAACTCAGGATCAAGTAAATATCTTTAGAATGATTCATGACCACCCAATTAGATGGTATCTGTTTTGATCGAACCATGCTATTTTTAACAAGTTTCATATCCCCTTCCCAATAGGAATGTTCCTGAAATCCAGAACAGATTGAAATGACTTCATATTTTTGAGAATCAGATCAGTGTGTCTTAAAAAGCAATCCGCAGTTCATGTGAAAATGCAGCTTAGACAAAGCACACTCCAGAAAACTTACAATAAAGTTTCACTCACTACAGTTCTTGCCCTTCCCAACCAGGTTGGCCTACCTGTTGCCGCCATCATCTCCCCTTTCTCTCCGTCTCATTTCTGCCTCCCTCGCTCTCTTCTCAGTCAACAGTTCGGCAAGCCCTGCTGTAAAATTATGCAAACACAAAGTGAACACAGGAGCACAGGAAAGATTTGTTGATCCGACCATCCAAACTACAAAATGCCAGCTCGGCCATGGCTTTCAGTACCACAATGTCATTGTAAACATATGTTTATTACTATAATTGCTATATATCCCACATACCTTTGCTGCACCTCTGGAAGTTGATTAATACATCATTACTGGTTGTGACAGCCAACAACCCTCACCCGACGACTACAGAGTCAGGCGTGTAGTTCTAGCAGTGAAGAAATATGCAGCTCCCTAATAGAATACTCTGGGTTAGAGATTTTATTTCTGTACAAACATGACTTGGATTGTAGCTTTCCTTGTACAAGGACTGGTATTGCACTGATATTACAATACTAACTCACTGTGCATTTAATGTTTATTTCCCATGTGGGCTTGAGAGCTATTTTTGGTAAGGAGCAAAACATGTGGGTAAGCGAGTTCGCAAAGAAACTGGGAAAGAATCTGGAGGAAAACTGAATGAACAGAAATCAAATATACAAATCAAAACCATTAGAAGCAGATTTTAATCTCTCTGGTTTTAAAAGTTGCAGCATTCAGCACAGCCTTAATGAAGAAAAGCAATTCTGGCTGATACACTTAAATCTCTTGAAATGAAACGGAAAAGCACTGCTTTCTACTTGCCTTGCTTCTCTCCATTAATTCAATTTGAATTTGTTTTTTCATGCATCACAGGCCATTCCCTTACAAAATAACTTCTAAAAAGACTAAGATTTATAATAAGATAGTCCCTGCCAGGTTGAGAAAGTGAACATGAAGGAAGGTAAAAACACAAATTTTTAATTTGAATTAATTCAATTGTATTATTTTATTTTAAAATTAAGAATTCATTGTGTTTGGTTATCAATGAAGTGGCTAGAAAGTCTTCTCAGCCCTAAACTGTTGCACCACATAACATTTGGGCAATTGTTTTGCTCTGGAAGATTTTAGAGCTCAAGTTTTTAAAAAATGGTACAAATAGAAAAGTAAGAAAGCCACCATCGCCTCTCTTCAGATGACCACTTTAGAGCCTTCTATGTGAGTTTCCAAGAAAAGGTTATATACAAAAAGAATGTGAATGGACCATCAATGGACCAACTAAAATGGGAGTGCCATTTTTTCACCTTTCTTCTAGCACCGTTATTATCTAGCTTTTCTTTAGTGCGATGTTCAGAAAGTTTGCTTTTTTATACACATTTACACTGACCCAAACAATCGAAGCAACAGTAGGAGAAATGCACCACACAGTAAAGTGTACGGCATGATTTAAATTCTTTATTTCTTGAGCACAGCTTGGACATCAGCCTTCTTAAGGTAAGTGATAGCAGAATCATGTCATCAACACACACAAGAATAGAAACTTTTGGAGGCCCAATTGCAGCAGGGGGAAATTCTGGTTGAGAAGTCAAACTTCATTCAAACTTCAATGATATTGGGCCCAAGAGACTTTTTTCTTTTCTTTATCCTTTTGTTGGTGAGAATAGGGTCAGTTAATCGACCAAAAATCCCCACTCTTAGTCCAGCAATTGTGTTAAAGTTTCTTAGTCAAGAGCAACAGATATAGTTTTAGTATTGACCAACTGATACAACAAGCAGCGTAGGGCCACAAGGTTGGTGGCCGGTTTGCAGGGGATGGGGTATGAGGCAAGACTGAAGGAACTGGGTCCCTTCAGCCTGGAGAAGAGGAGATTCAGAGGGGATCTGTTGCCGACATACAGGTATGTGAGGGGGTGTCACATGGAAGTGGGAAGAGACCTGTTCTCCCCTGCAGAGGAAGGCAAGACGCGCTCCAACGGAGCAAAGCTCAGGGAACCCAGGTTCCATTTAGATGCCAGGAAGCACTTCCTGACAGTCGGAATCCTGAGGGTGTGGAATGGGCTTCCACGAGAGGTCGATGAGGCCCCATCGGTGCGGGTGTTCAAGGATAGGCTGGACATGCACATGGTGGGCATGTCATGAGTGGAGCCGACTGGAGCCGGGGGTCAGACTAGATGGCCCAGGAGGTCCCTTCTGACTTGCTCTGTTTCTATGTTTCTATCTCAATTGTATCAAAGACTTCAGCTAAGCTTCCAAAAGCATCATAAAAATGCTTAGTAGGTCCTTCCATGCTTTGCTGAGCTAAAAAAAGAATCAAGCGATTGATTGTGTTTTGACCTTTCCTAAGAGTGTCCTGTTTGGGATAGATAATATGGTTAGAAGACCCCCAAGTTCTCCAGCTTATTAACACAGAAACATGGAAACCAAGCGAGTCAGAAGTGGTCTCCCGGGCCATTTAGTCTGACCCCTGGTTCCAGTCGGCTCTGCTCATGTAATCCCCAACATGTGGTTGTCCATTAAATAACATTTGTTGCACAACTTAATGTCCAAAATACTTCTTGAGCAACACTGATCAGAATCCTGCTTATTCCCTTTCTTATATGTTCTTCTGTTCTGGAAATATACCTTTCAGGTTAACGTTAATCCTGCTTTGAGCAGGGAGTTGGATTCAGTGGCCCTCTGGTCCTTTCCAACTCTACTATTCTATGATTTTAGATAACATTGGAGCCTGCCAGTGTCCTTGTATATTTCTGAGGGCATCATATTTTCTCCTGGGGCTTTGCCCAGTGTGAAGGATGCTATAAAGTTCTTTTTAATTTACAGTAACAAAAGGCAAATGAGGTAGAATAATAGCTTCAAAAATTGAATAATTGTTTCTCACAAGAGGGGAGCCATAAATGGCATATTGAAGTGTGCATGCCATCTTTTTGCTGGCATTTGCCCAACCATTAACATTCTGCATCCATCCCATAGGAAACAATATTCAGGATCGAAGAGTGCTCCTTTTCATTTAGAGCCAGGCACGTT